CTTAATTGATACTTGAGAGAGCTAGGTTTGAGTGTAGAACTCAGGTAAAATAGTGTAAGAACTTGATATTTGCATGTTGATGGATAGTTTTGCTAATAAGATAGAGATATACTTGCTAGCCTTACATAGCCACCTTAAGGTTGGTCTTTAAAATTGAGTTTTATTAATTGTAACAAGAGATTGGGTAATTAATTTAACTAAACACTTGTTCATAACTTGAAAGAGCTTGCCCATGTATTTTTAAAACCCTAAGTTAGCACTTATTTTCATTAAAAACATTTATGAGAGGAGGTAATTTTGGTGTTATGAAATACAAGGGGGATAAATAATCCTAGGTCCTAATTTGTATTTGAATTATATGAATCAATTGCTTTTCTTATTTTCTAGTATTAGTTTAGTTTGCAAAATCAACTTTTTCCTAATTATGTTTAGCTCAACTTGATTGAATTTATTTAATCTTTTGTTTGATCATTGTTTTTAAACAAACCCTTAAGGAAATGATACTTTTCTTTTATTATATTACTTGCTACGACCCGTGCACTTGTGGTAATCAACAAATTTTTGACGTTGTTGTTGGGGATGACAAGGCAGCATCTAAAATCTTGCAAAGTAGTTTTTGTTGGCCCTCTTTATTCAAAGATGCATATGACTATGTATTGAAGTATGATTGGTGCCAAAGAATAGGTATCATATCTAAAAGAAATGAAATGCCACTCAACAATATGCTTAAAGTAGAATTATTTGACATGTAGGGCATAGACTTTATGGGACCATTTCTCATATCTTTCAACAATCAATATATCCTTGTTGTTGTAGACTATGTCTCAAAATGGGTTAAAGCAGTGGCATTTCCCATTAATGATGCTAAAGTGATGTTCAAGTTCTTAAAGAAGCATATTTTCACCCACTTTAAAGCACCTAGAGCCATTATAAGTGATTGTGGTAATCACTTTTACAACAACTAATTTCAATCTCTCTTGAAAAAATATGGTATCAAGCATAAAGTTGCACTTGCCTACCATTCTTAAATTAATGGGCAAAATGAGATTTCTAATTGAGAAGTCAAGAAGATATTTGAGGAGACGGTAGGATTAACAAGAAAAGATTGGTCCACCAAACTTGAAGATGCATTGTGGGGTTATCGAACGGCTTACAAAACTCTTATCAGCATGTCTCCATACCGATTAGTATTTGGGAAAGCATGTCATCTACCTATAGAGTTAGAACATGGTGCTTATTGGGTTATCCAAAAGCTTAACTTTGATTCTAAGGCTGTGAGTGAAAAGAGACTTCTCCAACTGAATGAACTTGAAGAATTTCAGTTTAACGCTTATGAGAATTATGTGTAAAACATTTGAGCCAGGTCAAAAAATACTCTTGTACAATTCTAAATTGAGATTATTTCCTAGCAAACTCAAATCTAGATGGTTGGGACCATTCAATATGGTCTAAGTATTCCCTCATGATGCTATTAAGTTAGAGAGCATTTGATAGCACACATTTGTTATACACTTTTATTTATCAATTAAGACCATTTTATTAATGTTTTATTACCTTAAAGTACACTCATTGCATCAGATTTGAAAAATTGCCTAAGTTTTTAGGTTTAGTACACTAGAGGTATTTTGGTTCAAAAAATTAAATTTTGAGAAAATGTACAATAAAAATTAACAAACTAAATTTTATGTCCAATCGATGAGTAGTGAAATTAGATTTTTAAAATTTATTTTAGTTTGGGAGTAATTAAATAAAAAGTAAATACTTTCTAAAATGTCTTAGTTTGACCTAGTTTTTGGTTTGCCTTTGTGTGAAAATTTTTATATAATTTTGTGCAGCCTAAAACTTAGTTATTTTAATAAATTCTCCCTTCTAATTATAAATTTAATTTTAAACATTAATTGAATTTGATTATATTACATGCTATTTAATTGAATCATGTGATTTATGTGATATAGGTGGCATATAACTTGTGCATCAATTGGGCAATTGGAGTCAACATTCCTTGAGGTCAAAGCTGATGGTTTGCACATGAATTAGGCTTTATTTGGGGATTAAATTAGCTTGAAAATGTGGACGACACATGAAAAATTACATACACATTGGAATTAACTACCAACCAATAGGAGGTTGCTACCTTGTAAGTGTGATAAGGCTCCTATTTTCCTTTTTGTTTTATTTTCTTATTTTTTTAATTAGGATTAGCTGATGGAAACACCTTGAGCACACCATTCAGCTCCTCAATTCAGATTCATTCACTCATTTCCTTCATTTTCTCTCACTTGTTCATAATGTTCTTCATTTTCTCTCAATTCTCTCCCTACACTTCCACTCTCTTTCCTTCATATCTCTCAATGTAACCATCCAAATTTAACCAAACCACCACCATTCTCTTCCTCTCTTCCTCCTCTACAAAACCTAATAGCTTTCATAAGAATCAAACTAGGAGGAAACCTTGAGTTGTATTATTTTCTAGTTAGATTTGAATTTCTTCTCTCTACTTTTCTATCTCTAGAATTACAAATTTGTATGACTCTTTGATCTTGTAATTTTAAGTGATGATTCATATGATTGAGAGATGCTTGTTACTACTTGCGTTTTGTTACTTTGAGCTCTAGATTTTGGCCTCTTCAAGTTGATTCATAATCTTTGTTAGCTTGATATGTTTAACATGTTTTCTTACTTGTCATAATCTTGCCAACTTGAATGCATGTGAATATCTTTATGAATCATAATTTTGAGCATGTTGATTATATCATATGTGCTTGACCTAATTGACTCATGTTTGTAATACTTTGGTTAAGCTTAATGCTAGCTTTACTTTGGCTCACTCTAAGACCATAATCTTGGATTGGGGTTGGTCAATGTATTAGCTAAGTCTTGGTCAATATAACTAAGTCACTAAAATCAAAGAAAAGAGAGAAGAAACCAAACTAGCTAGGTTGTAATCAAACAAGGATAAATGACCAATTCCACATGAGAGTTCCTACTTTTAATAGGTTCTCATACATCCACTTAATTCACTTTAAAGTTAGGTTTAATAGCTTAATTAATTTTAAGTTTAAATCTATCTCACATACCTTTTAACTTATAACACATTTCAAATCTAATTTTCAACTAACCCTTCTCATAGAAATCGACCTAGGTTCACACTAGTATTACATTAGTGTAGCTTAGTATTATTTTATTAGGGTAGTGACAACTTTAGTTAAAATTTGGCGATGTTGCCAGAGAGTTAAGGCTAGTATTTGTTTAGGATTGATTTGTGTTTAATTTATCAATTTTGTGATTTTTATATTTTTTTCTTAATTCTCAAGATTTTTGGTGTTTTTGTGAAGTTTGAGTTACTAAGAGTGCAACTCTTAGTAATTTAAAATGAATATTATTAGGTGGTTTTCATATTCAGATTTTAATGAAAGATTTTAAATTTAAAATGAATGAAGCAACATAAAACAAAAATTTAAAAGGTCGCAAAATCTTTCCAATTTTGCAAGTTGAGTAAGAACAAACTATTAAAACAAAAATCATACCTTCTGTTTTACAATTGGGTACTTATGCTCTTCATTTAATGTAGTAGAATCAATCAACTGCAACCTCTATTAAGATTTCACAGCTCTTTGACTTGATTTCGTTATTTCCTAAATTGGTCGAACAAGGCTAACTCGATGATCACAAAACCTACTAGACAATTTTTAAAATAAAATATTTGTGAAAAAGAGAATGTTGACGGGTAAAGAATCATGATGGTTCTGAAATAAAACATATTTGCATACAAGGTGAATGCGAACAGCATTGTCTTGAACACCTCATTGAAGATTTTTAAAGGGAGTAAATCGAAAAAAACAAGGGGGACTAAGAGTACTATTGGAAGAACCATTGGGAATAGGGCATGACGTAAATAAAGTTGGAGAGATGGTTGAAATAAAAGATCTCATTTGAAATGAGAATCTACAGGAGGATTGATGAAAATAGGGAAGACATAAGAAGTGGCATGAGAATAAGCTTACTGAACCAACTACACAAGAGAAATAAGTTAAGATCAAAGTAAATTGACCAATGAAATTAGATAAGATTTGACTAATTAGAATCCTTTTACAAGATTTGTTAATATATATTGATGGAATTACCTTCTTATTTAATTAATGATAATGAAATGGAGATTATTGGATAATTTTACAAAATAAAAATTAGTTAATATGAGTTTATTTCTCATAAAATAAACTCTACTTGGCTCCCAACATTTTTTTTATTACAAATTTAATTTTAATAACATTTTTTATAGTGTATCTTATTTTTTTAATTACCAGTATATCTACATAAAATCTAATTATACACAATTTTCGCGTTCGATAGATGAGATATATAATATATTTTATTTTTATACATATAATAATAATATTTTCTTCTGTCCTTTTTAGAAGGTATTCGGGTAAATTTTTTTTAGCTCTTTTACAAGCCATAGTACGAGATATTCATCACACCTTTAATATTATTTAATATTGGTTTATTTTTCAAAATTATTTAATTATCCAAAAAAGTTAATATATTTTAAACTTTTTACTGGTGGGATGATAATACTGAAAATGTCTTATTAAAAGGAAAGAAGGGAATATATTAATGCATTGATTTTTTTTTTTTCATGTACAAAATATGCCATTTACTAGTCCTTGAAAATTTTAAAGGAAAAAAATTTAAGAACCCCACAACAATCAACGATGCCGCGAGGGTATAACCGTGAAAGAGGGAACGCAATCTCATACAGTTCAAATACCAAAAAACCCCCTTGCCGACGGTGGACGTCGACGTTACAAGCCGTTACTCGGAGCCGTGCCATATGGTCAAGATCGGAATTTGACTCTGACACTGTCCACGCGCAAAAAACATAAGGCGGTGAGGCGCGTTGACGTGGATCAGAACGCTGCTGCCCATTGTCCGTACAATGACGTGGCAGATAACGATTTGTGAGTTACCTTTAAAAGCACGAACCGCATGATTGGAATCTGAGAGGTGTGCTTGTTGTTTTCCTTCATCGTGCCGAAACATGCGTTGCTTTCTGCGGGGAAAATTAATGAAAATTGCAAAAGAACGATGCACCAAAGAGAAGGACACTACCGACCCCACTTGACAATCTCGTAATTCTATTCTTGTGGGAGTGCAAAAACGGAATTCAAGCCGTCTGGTGCATCCTTTTGTTCCTTCCTTCCTCGTCCTCCTACTATTTCGTACCTCTCCCGATCGAAATCCCAGATACGCATTGTGGTGTTTTGGGACGAAGAAGCTTCAACAGATACAAAGGTGAAGCCTTTTTTCTGGCTTTCCTCCTCGTAAGAGAGAAAAAGAGGAGGAGAGAGATATAAGCTAGTCAAATTGTTTTTGGTTCTTTTTTTGTATTGATTTATATATATATATATTTTATATTGGGGAAGAGAGGGAGAGAAACGGAATAATGGGGTTGGCAGGTGTTCAAGAAAATGGCAATGGGATTGAGAATGGGCTGTCTGAAATCTCATTGGGGTCCCAAAATAAGTATCGGAGGATGGATTCTGTTGTGGCAGACGAAGAAGAAGATGAAGCCTCGCTGATCAGAGGGTCAAATACCAGGAAATATATTATGCTTTGTGCCGTCTTTGCCTCTCTGAATTCTGTGCTTCTCGGATACGGTAGGTAATTCTATTTCATTATCTGGACTCGATCTAATTTTTTAGTTCTGATTCAATCTAATTAATTGGCGAAATTCCATGTTATGAACGTTCTTCATTGTGTTCTCTTTTCCCTGTTTGTTGAAATTTCTTAGTCATACCGACAAATGTTGACCATTCTGTCTTCAATTATCTGACGAAACACGAATAACTGGGACCAATTGTATTTTGTTGGATCTGATTCCTTTCGAGGATTTTACGGCTCATAGATTTTAGGGATGCTCTGTAATTTGGGGAGCGGTTTTGCGTAATGGCCAAGAATTTTGCGGCCGCTTTAAACTAAGATTTGTTTGGAATGAAGAGTGTAATAGAATTTCATTTTTAATTAGAAAAAATAAGATGCGAAATGTTTGTATTTACATTATTATTATTATTATTATTATTATTATTATTATTATTATTGTTATTGTGGAATCTTGTATCCAACAAGCTTGACGGATCTGGAAAAGCAAGTCTCAGCAAAATGTGTATAATGCTCCCACTTATACAGATTCTTCTAGTGGATCCTTTTAAGAACCTGAGGATTGTGATAATGTTATTTATTGGGTACAGAGAGGATTACCCTAAAATGTGCCTGTAAATTAACATATTTTGCATGACTAGTTTATTCGATCTAATTTACCTCTCTTGTAGAAATTAGGTCTACCTAAATAGTTGATGTTGGGGAAGAACATGGTTTGCTACCTTTGCATCTGGACATACAGTCTACAATAACCTAAAATGTATGATATCTTGCATTCCAAGTGCTGAAATATCATGGTATCGAGACACTCACCTTTAGTATGACAATGAAAAAATAGGTCATATGAATGATAAAAGTAATATTGTTCAAATAGTAGCAGGAGTACGATGTGGAATCCTTATGGTTTTATGGTAACACGAGTTATTACTAAAAATAGGGCCATCCTATAGCATCTTGTTTGTCATCTTGAATACAAGTGTTCCAAACATGTATTCGAGGCTACTGCACCCGAGATAATGGGGTTATAATGATGATTTACCAAATACCTCTTTCTGAGTTTAACCAAACACCTCTTTAATTAGGGAAAATTACATCTAAAGGCCACTTAAAAATTGTGATTATTTTTCAAGGATTACAGTTATTAATTTATTATTAGATTTTACCGGAGGTTCCAGGAAAGTTGCTGCTGAATTTTTAGAATAATTACTTGAAAGCTTCTTAAAGTTTTAACTTTCTCAATATGTGGTTTTCTAATCCTTGAAAATAATTTTGACCTTTAATATCGTTTAACTTAATTTAACAATTAGGTCCTTGCATGCTTACAGCTGCCTTAGCACCATCTTTTACTTCTCTTTCTTTTATAATGATATGATGGGTGGTCCTAACACAAGTTCAAGTGTCTGGCTGATCATCTTTGCTTGTTTTTCTGCAGATGTAGGTGTAATGAGTGGAGCAATTATATTTATCCAGGAGGACCTGAAGATAACAGAGGTTCAACAAGAGGTACTTGTTGGAATTTTGAGTATAATCTCCCTATTGGGCAGTCTAATGGGTGGAAAAACATCTGATGCCATTGGAAGAAAATGGACAATTGCCTTGGCAGCAGCTGTCTTTCAAACAGGTGGTGCTGTTATGGCTCTTGCTCCATCCTTTAAAGTTTTGATGATTGGGAGACTCTTAGCTGGAGTGGGCATAGGTTTTGGGGTCATGATCGCTCCAGTTTACATCGCAGAGATATCTCCTGCGATTGCTAGAGGATCTCTCACCTCTTTCCCTGAGATATTCATAAATCTGGGAATACTTCTTGGGTACATCTCGAACTATGTGTTTTCTGGCCTTCCTGCACATATAAGCTGGAGGGTTATGCTTGGTGTGGGACTCCTTCCTTCAGTTATTATTGCAGTTGCACTATTCGTGATACCAGAATCCCCGAGATGGTTAGTGGTGCAGAATAGGATCGACGAAGCTCGAATGGTACTATCAAAGATAAATGAGAGTGATAAAGAAGCGGAAGAGAAGCTAGCTGAAATACAAGTAGCAGCTGGAATAGCTAATGCTGAGAAGTACGAATCACAAGCTGTTTGGAAAGAACTGCTGTATCCTTCTCCACCTGTTCGGAGGATGCTGATCACAGGCTGTGGAATTCAGATTTTCCAACAGGTCACAGGCATAGACACAACAGTATACTATAGCCCCACTATCTTCAAGAATGCTGGGATAACAGGAAACACTCAGCTTCTTGCTGCAACAGTTGCTGTTGGATTCACGAAGACCATGTTCATCTTGGTGGCTATATTTCTCATTGACAAATTAGGCAGAAAGCCATTGCTGTTTGTGAGTACTATTGGCATGACAGTATGTTTATTTGGGCTTAGCCTCTCTTTGGCTTTCTTTGGCCATGAAAAGGCAGGGATCATAATGGCAATTATTTCGGTTTGTGGGAATGTTGCTTTCTTCTCTATAGGACTCGGCCCTATATGCTGGGTTGTGTCATCTGAGATTTTCCCTTTGAGACTTAGAGCACAAGCATCAGCCCTTGGAGCAGTGGGAAGTAGGGTCAGCAGTGGTGTGATCTCCATGTCCTTCCTCTCCATTAGTCGTGCCATTACAGTCGCAGGAACCTTCTTTGTCTTTGGGATTATTTCATGTTCAGCTGTTGCCTTTGTTTACTATTGTGTTCCTGAAACTAAAGGGAAAACCTTGGAGGAGATCGAAAAGGTGTTCCAGGACGAGGGAGATGGCGAATGGCAGAAAAACGAGGTTGAAATGGGAGACGTTGAGAGACTGGTGCAGAATTCATGAGTTTTATGTAGTGGGTATGAAGCCTAACATATATACTGTCAAGTTGGTGGCTGGCCATACTCTTGTGTGAGCGGAGATTTCTGCTTCAGATTCATCATGGGTATGTTCCGTTGCTGCAGCATGCAGGAGAACAGGACTTATAGTTGCTAGCAAAACAAAGAGGAGAAATTTTATTATGCGATGTTATTTCTTGTATGAAGCCACCAATACGAGTAATTAGTATTAGCTGAAGTAGATCTCAATGTGCATATGTATTACTAGTTACTACTACTCCTGCTTTGTAATTTTTTTTCTTTCTTTCTTTGTTTTTTTTTCAATCTGTTGGGAGTTGAGTTCTGATTACATTGATTCATTTTTCATTGAACTATCATAATGAAAATTTCATTGTCTCTTTTTCTTGGGTTTGTGTTTCTCCAGTGCGGGACCAGAAATGGCGTTTTCTGCTTTGTAAAGCTGTAATCAAGTTCACGAAGAAGCTCCGTCCCTACCAAACAAAAAATAAAATTAGTGCTACTACCTTACTCCTATTCATAAGCAATTTTTTAAATGTTTTTTTATATTCGTATCTATAAATCATTTTCTGAAACCTATTAATGTTTTTAGTATAGATATTGTTGATTAATTATAGTAGATGGAAGGATTGAGAGATGAGAAAGATTATGCCAGAATTTGTATTGTATTTAATTAAGGATGATTTTTTGAAAAATGGAGTCATTCTAAAAAACATCAACTTATTTTAACTACCTTCTCTTGGTTTGTATAAACTAGTTAAATATGACTTGTATATAAACAGGGTAATATAAACAAGTTTTTGTTTACTACTTATAGAAAATGACTAAGCTTGATTGTTAACATTTAACAAGACCTAGTGTTTTTTTTTTTTTTTTGGTGCAGCAAGGATATCCAAATGATTTAATTGTAATTTCATGTACATCTTATATAATGGACAAAGTCTGAAAGGTCATTGAATAATTGATCTTTTTTTTTTTTAGAATTACATTCAAGTTTCATATAAAAAAATTTAATTACTACAAAGTTCATTATCAATCTCTTTAACTCAATTATCAATGGACCTTATAGTAATTAAATTTCTTGAGTAGAATTTCAATGTAATTCTCTCTTTATTTCTTTCCTTTCTTTTTTTTTTGGGTGAGACAAGAAATAATAGAATTTGTCAATTAGGGCCAAACCTATTAGACCAACCTTTTTAAACCCAAAAAAAAAAAATTAAAGCTAGGCCCTTACTTTAAATTGTAAAATGACAAATTGGGCTTAAAAAGCCGGTTTCTTTATATATATTTTTAAAAATTTAATATGAAAAAATAAGCATTATACTAAAAGGAAACCCTAGCCATTAATGAGAACTCATAAGGAGAATGATTAAATTATATTGACATTGATGACAATAGGAATCATCAACATTTAACTAATAATGCTAGCAAAGTCCAATTGTTATTAGGGCTGATTTTGGAATGTTATTATTTTTTATTAGACTTAAATTTGTTCTTGTGTGGATTGATTTAGATTTATTTTTCTAGACTTAATGTCATGTGTAATAATATTTTTAAAATGTTAAATATATTATTTCATATTTTTAATTTAAAAAATAAAAAAATATAGGGCTGGCTTTTCAGTCCTAAAAACCAAAGCTAAGAAAACAAACCTTTAAAATATAAATTAAACTTAAAAGGATTAGCCTGTTTAGACATTGATCCTTTAAGTATTGGCCTTAATTGATAGCTATAAGTAGAGCAACACTAATCTCCTTGAAATACATGAATTTTAAGTTACAGCCTGACAGAATTTCATCATGTTTGTTTAGTATTTGTCTTGTTCAATTGGTGTATTTTAGGTTACAGCATCGTAATTTGGTTTTTGTTTCTTCTTGCTGTTTTCTTATTAGCTCCGTCTTGTAATTGTTGTGACTGCCATAATTTTGTCTAGTAGGTGGTTACGCAATTCCGATTTGTTGACCTTTTAAAAAACAAAAAAACAAAAATGTAAGTTCAAAGGATTAGTCTATAAGGAGCAGTCCCTTGAAATTATAAGCCCCTTCACTTGTGATGCTCCTCAATTTAAAACTCGTAAATTGAATGAATATAATTCTGAATTACCTTTATATGTAATTCTTGCCCGGTTGACAAAACACATTAAGCCATTAACTCGGCAAAAATCTTTATATATTATAAATTTATTATTTTAAAAATAACCATATGGTGCCGGTGAATTAATCGATTAATTTCTCATTACATGTTCTAATTTTCTCACAACTGATTTAGCTTCTTAATCAAATCTTGAAATACAGACTTATATTAAATACTGTTGTTTCAGAATTGCAATGTTCTTGGAATATCAAAGCAGAAATAAAAAGGAAGTAAACTGGGAGAATATTCTGCATCAGAAGGATTTATTAAGACAAAGATTCTCAGCAATAAATTTCTGTGAAGTATACTAATCATTAAAACACAGTTTAAAAACTTTTCACCACTTCACTAAAAATAATCATTGTCCGGATCCGTAAGTCAATAGAGAATATCCTCACAAAACAAATGAGTTTGCTGTCACATGGAAGGGAAGAAAGTAGGTGATCTTTTTAAGACGGGAAGCTGATAGATCACTTTCACAATTAAATTTGTCACAGTCAAGATAAGCTTTCTCCATTCCCTTCTGGAATATCATTCCAATCAAATCCCAGTTTCCAGATTCAAAAATGCCATCAAAATCCAGATACAAAGGAAATAACATAACTTCCTTTACCTCTTATTCTTTCCAGATTCTGAAAGACATACGACAAAAACCTATAATTTCAACTATATTCTATCCTATAGTGGAATGAACCCAGTCACAATCAGTCCATATCCACTTAAAATGCAGACAACTTCTATAGGAATAAAAGTGCTATATAATATAACCTTCCAATTACAAACTTGAGAACTATGAGTTGCAGAGAATGCAACAACTTGATATGATCCTATCAACAATGCTTCCTTTCTCTACCTGAAGCTTCCTACTGCTCTTGTTCCACAGGTGCACTGCAAAACTGTCCTTGTTGATTTGTCTTAGTTTCTTCACCAACCATTTTGATTGGAGTTCATCTCTTGGCCTTTGAAACAGACGAGCAATGCTTCTCCAATCCACAGGATAAAATGCAGATGGTGGCATAACAGTGAAGTTAAATCCTGGTCTTCCACTGACCCTCGAGACAACTCTAGAGACCAAGTAAGGACCATTATGACCCCACTTGTTCCCATCAAATGTGAGTGCGAATTCTTCAATGAACTTGGAAAGTAATGGATGCTTTTTATCAAATATCAGCAAAGCATTGTTCAATCTGCTCCATTTCCCAGTTTTTGCATCGAAGTTCTGTGCTCCAATGGTGTTTCTTAGTTTCGAGAAACTCTTCAACACTATGACATCTGCGTCCATGTAAATGCCTCCAAACTTGTACAACAAAGCAAGCCTGAGCAAGTTTGAGAGGTTTTGGCCTAAGGAGATTTCGCCTGGATTCACATTGCCCTCCTTCAAACCATTGTACCATGATTCTGCATGAGTGTCCTTGAATATGTAATCAAAATCCGGGGCCATTGCTGTTACTCTGAACCCATTAGTCAAAAATGGCTTCAGGATTTGAGAGCCTCCATGGGAGTCCAGGGATTTGGAGACTATCACCAAGCAAGCTTTTGGGTGAGACTTGAACAGGCTCTCCACGGCTGAAAACTGTATGTCACCGAATGATTCCAGTGAAGCAATCCAAGTCATGAAGAACCTGATCTTACAAGAAGATGAGGAGGAGGAGGAGGAGGAAGAATTCTTCCCAACAAAGAATGCTTTGATCCTGGTCTGAAACAACGAGGCCTGAGCTTCTGAGCGGACACTTCTTAGACCCCTCTTGTGTCTCCTGATCCGTCTCCATCTGTTCAAGAGAAATTTTTCCATAGGAAACGACGAATTCTGCAAGGCGGGCAAATTAATCTTCGAGAAAGTTGCAGAATCGTCCTTGTCGGTGGCGAACAACACAGAAGAAGAAAGCTTCAACTGGGAAGCAGACCATTGCCGGACCGACTCTTCTCTGGGTTCCGTCAGCGGCGAGAAAACAACGGGTTTCGAAGGCGATTTAACCAAGAAAGGGACATGAACCCAGAAAACAGTGAACCCATTGTAACACAAAAGGAAGAGAAGAAGAAGAAGAGCGAAACAGGAAGTGGGGAAGCAGAAGAATATAGCAAGCACAGATCTTTTGAAGTCCTGAACTTGGTGAAGAAGAAGGAATGGGAAGTGAAATTGATGTCGTTTCGTGGCTCCCTCAGTCATGGCGTTTGGGTTAAACAGGAGGAGGAGGAGATGATTCAAAAGTTTGAACTTTCGATTTTGAAAGGAGATGTAGAGAAAGACAGTGGGAGAGCATTTTAATGGCGGAGGCGGTAAAAGATCATAAAATAAGAGTATTAATTGGGCTTTGGGTCTTGGAACATGGCGAACCAAAGAAGTATAAAGTGCTGATGTTGATTGGCCAGCTCGAGAGTGTGAGAGGGAGAAAGTCAGAAAACTGCCGAGAGGAACTGCGTTGGAGGGGCCTGCTGGTTCACGTTGGTTGGGTGGCTTACCGTCTGTCCACATCCAAAAAAAATAAAAAATAATTAAATTGGGTAATAGTAATATATGTATCAATTTTATGTGATAAATTAACATACTAATTTATCCTCTAACTAATTTCTATTATTAATACTTCTATTAATGCGTTGTATATATTTTTCTAATTGTTTTTGAATTTTTAATTTGGCTTGATCTTTAGCAACCTCTAATTAACGATATTCAAATTTAAAACTTATCGAAAGAGATAGATATATTTTTTACATCATATGAGATATTCTTTTTTGCTCTATAATTTTTAATATTTATACTGTGACTAAAAAATTTTTAAATTTTATTAACATTGTCTACAAATTTAACAAGTTCTTAAGTTTACTCCTATTAAATTGAAAAAATTACTCCAAGGCGTCTTAAAAGAATTTTAATTATCAAGAAGTTTCATAAAAGACACAAAATACTTGAAAGTTTCAAATCTTGAGCAATTATAACTTGGCAAAGAAAAATAAAAATTTAGGTTTAGTTGTCATTTTCCTTTGCTAAGATATCATTTTCCTTAATCAAGTTATAATTGTACAGAATTTGGGACTTGCAGCAATTTTACATTTCATAAGACTTTAAAGTAATTAAAATCTCATATGGCATTTCTCAGTAATTTTTCTTATTAAATATACCTCTTTTAAAAATAAAATATTGTAGCATTTAATAAACTTCTCGACTTTGATAGGGACAAAATAATAAAGATAAATGTAATAATGATTGAGGTGCTTTATAAATAGAATTAAAATAAATACTCTCTTTACCTTATAACTAAGATTAAAGAAGTATAAAATTTTATGTTTAACAATACCCATAAATTTTTCTAAAACATTGTCAAAATATGGTAAAAGATGGAAGAATATTACATTAAAATATAACACATGAAAGGTACTTCTTAATTTTTTATTACTCTATAATATTTTTATTAAATTGGAATTAAACTATAAAGAATGTAATAATTTATTTACTCAGTCTACCGTAATAATACTAGCTTTTAGAGTTAATTATATTATATAGTCATCCTGAAACATCATTTGTGATATGAAACAAAATATAGGAAAAATTATACCTAAATCTCATAAAAGAAATTTAATTATTAAGAGATTTCATAAAAAGTACAAATATTTCTAAATCTCAAATTTTATATATTTATAATTTAGTAAAAGATATTTATAATTGAGCCCGTCATCCAATTATAAATGAACTTTATCAAATTATAAATATATGAAATTAAAGATTTAAAAATATTTTATACATTTTATATAATTTTTTAATAATAAAACCTCTTCTCTAGAACCTACGCGTAATTTTTCAAAAGTGCATCCACAACCAGAATATCCAAGTTGGACTTTCCTTTCCCTGCTGCGTGCGCATTCGTTCGATATTCTATTTACAAAGAAGCTCCTCGGAAAAAAGTTGCACTATCTTTGAATTTTACCATTGCCGTAACAATATTGTTCGGCGCTTTTCGAATGCTCTGGCACCTATAATTACAGAAAGGCATGACTCATATATTTAATATACTATTATCTAATTAAATCAAGACATGTAAAGTTTAATATATTAATAATATTAATTATAAAAATTTGTTATAAAATAAATAATTTATAAAAAATAAACATGTCTTAATTTGATTGAAAACAAACCCCTAAACTATACAAGGTTAAGCATATGAGATTTTTCCACTAAATAAATAAGTAGCATGAAAAACATCTCTGGACCAAGAAAATGAAAAGCTGAGTCAGAGCACATGAAAGCAGCTATGAACACACACAGAAGAGCACAGAGGAAAATTGAACAAACAGAATTTACAAAGATAACAGGGGGCTTGAAGTACGATAGGATAGGAGTTGTCTTTGGCACATAAGTTTCTCTCCGGGACCTGACATTTTTATGTTAATCTCCTCCAATTCCAACAACCGAATGACAAATTAAGGTAAAAAGACACAGACATATGTACTTCAACGTTTTATGTTTTAAACTTTTTCGTGCAAGGAAAAAGAATGAAAACACCATGAACTCGCTGAATGGATCTAAGATATCGAAGTACACATAATACAGAGTCAACAAAAACCAGTCTCCGCCTACATTTCTTTCGCCAAACAAAACAGTTTCCACATTAATAAAGCAGTTGACCGATTGCCTTAATCGGCATGGTTTGCCTGAGAGCAGCAACAAACTTCATAGAAGTCCTCTTCTTCTCTTGTAATCACTAACAGTCAATGTCAATGCATGCCTCCTGCCATCGTTTTCTGGGACTCGGAATCCCACTGTTGCTTCCAACCGTTGCTTCCTTCCCATGAATCCTGCCTGAGCTCCCTGGGCTCCACCAAACTTCTGAAGCAATGCTAATGAAATTGGTAACTCAAAATTGTGCAGCACATTTGACTCGGTCCCTTGATCCACCGGAGCACTTGTATCTACTAGCTTGCCAGCACCGGCAGCTGCTTCCAAAGCTGCAGCAGTAGCCACCATACCAGCCTCCACAGCTGCTCCTGTCCCATTGACGCCTGCACCAGCCACTGGGCCATTGCCATTATTATTTCCAGCTTCACCAGGCTTTGAAGCATAGTAGTTCCTTGATCTAGTCCATCTCCTTGAAAATGGATCATAACCTGCCTCCCCAGCTTTCAAGGTTGCACTGATTGGCTTCAATTCAGAAGCATTTTTAAAATTTTCAAACCTGTTCTTTCTGTTCATCTCAGCCAGCTTCAATGCCTTGGCATCCTTCTCCTTTGCTTTTCTGACTGCCTCTAATTCTAACAGTCTTGTCTTGATTCTCTCTACTTCTGCCTCATTGTTCTTAGCCTGTGCTATTTCCAATTCCCTCCTCAGTCGATCTTTCTCAGCTGCAATATTTAATGGCCTTGATGAAGCAGATTTTTTCTCCTGTAACATCTGTTTAACAGTGGCTGCAGAGTATACAAATGTGTTAATCTTTTGTATGGCTTGTTTTTTGTCCAACACATCTTGTTTGCTTGGCATCCTGCCACCACTTCGCTCTACTTCTTTAACCCATTGTTTGAACTCCTCCTCAAGTGGTGCAGAGTCACTAACCATAGCCATTTGCCACCTAGCAGCAGAATTTTCATTTCCCCATGTAACATTTAAGTACTTGTAGGTGGTTTTATTCTCTAGTTTATACTGCCGCTCAGGTTCTGTGGCATCAACATTCTTCACCATGCAGAGGCGGTAAATTGGTCCAGACTTTGATCTACCAATACCAACTCTTACAAAGCAACCAACAATTAAATCCTCAAAGAAAGGCTCCATAAACCATTTAGCAAGTTTTGACCTACGGATTGTAATTTCTTTAATATCCTCAAACGTTGGCCCATCAGACATTTCTCTATCATCATCACTGTCACCAATTCCTCCATCCCCAGTTGACCCTTCATCATCACTGTGAGACCTACTTTCACTCTCACTATGGCTTGAACTACTAAGGCTTGTTGAAGTAAAAGGCTTGCGCTTTGGTGAAAAATGTCGGGACCCTGAACCTCTAGATGCCTCTCTAAGTCTACGGTGGGCTTCTGGGTCTTGCTGTTTCAACCGCTTTGCTCGCAATTCATTTAGAGCATCATCCTTAGCAGCTGACCTGTCAGCAGATCTGGCTGATGAACGCACACGAGACGATGCGAGGGGTGGAGTCTGCTTTCTGGGCACTGTTGCCTTTCCTTTTTCACGCTTTGATGCTATCTTACCCAATAAATTTTTATCATCTTTTTTGGTTGCCCTGTCTGACAAGATCATTTCTCTTTGAAGTTCAGTCATCTCAGAGAGCTTCCGCCGGTCATCTTCATTCTTATAAAGATCATCACCAATGTCAGATTCATCACTGCTATCACCCTCATGATCAGAATGGCCATCATCCCCATCCCCTTCTTCTTGACTGACCTGATCATCATCCCTTTCTGTTGAATCTAATCTCTTCTTCAAAGGAACTTGAGATCCAGTGGGCTTTCTGCTAGCAAAAGTGAGATCATCATCTGAATCATCATCCCTAGAATCACTCCCACCATCTGAAAATGAGCCATCATGTTGCCTCCTTGAAGGTGGCAGAGACTGTCGTTTTCTCCCTGTGCCAGTTCTTCCCGCAGCCTCCAAAAGCAAATTTTCCAAATCTGCCATGATAGTCCCACTTCAACGTATCAATTCAAACTGATCCTGCATATAAACCAAGGTGTCAATTGCCATCACATAAGGCACAAAGCAGCTTTATATGAAAGCTAGGTATTATAACTAACAATATGAAGAGTTGGCGACTATACATGAATATGATCAACTCAGCCACGTGGGTGTCAAATAACAATGGAGGAAAGATGGAATTGGGGTTGGGGCTGAGGTCTTGGCACCTGTTTGGATGGATGAAATTTTAGCATGGGAAATAAAAATCAGCCTCCTTTCCACCTGCTCGCTTTTTCTGCCAGGGGCGGGGGAAGCTTAGCCCAGGAAGGGAGAGGGATATAAATTTACTGAACTACCCATGAAGAAGCAGAACAAATCGATAAAGAGGCATTTTGTACCGGATTTGCCCAGATGAAGGGGAACAGATTGAGAATTTAATTGCAAAGAAGAAGCATTAACATATTTGCAAAGCTAAACATCAGCAATTGTCCACGCTAACTCACACGAAAAAACTTTGCTCCACGTAAGTGTAGTAGCCAACAGAACAACAATAACCGCATCATTGAATGGTTGGATAAAAGGAGAGACTTAGATTTATGGAATCCTAACCATGGAAACGAAAATTTAGCCCTCCAATGGACTCGAGCTCGGG